ATTGAAATTGAATGATAGCGATGTAAAAAGAGAGATATGACGAGAAACAAAGATTAAATATTAAAACAAAAAATAATAAAAAGAAAAAGGAAAATCTTTCTCTCTCTCTCTCTCTCTCTCTCTCTCTCTCTCTCTTTTTCTCTCTCGTATAATACGATAATAAATTCTCATTGAAATTATTGACATTTCACATCATAATACTATAGTATAACAATGGAACAACACTCGTATCGGTTTACTTCCGAGAACGTGCTCTGTGGCACGCTCAAATCTCGCGGGTGCAAAGTTTAGCGCGTCGTAATCGCTCGTCTCTCTTTCTAACGAGTGGGACGGCACTCTTGTATCCGTGCTACGAAAGCGAAATGAAAAATTCTAAGCGAAGCCGATAGGCCTCGCTCGTGATGGAGTTACTCCGACGAGGTCGATCTCGATACCAGTGAAGAAGGAACGAGCTTCTCTTTCTCTCTCTCTCTCTCTCTCTCTCTTTTTCTCTCTTTCTCTCTCCATCTCCTTCTCGACTGAAAAGAAGAGCTTTCCCGTTATGTACCTCTCTCTTTCTTTCTGTCTCTTTCCTTTCTCTCTCTCTCTCTCTCTCTCTTTCTTTCTTGCTCTCTCTCTCTCTCTCTCTCTCTCTGTCTCACTGTCTCTGTCTCTGTCTTTCTCTTGCTCTCTAAGTTGATTTCGAGCTGCCCAGGCAGAAGCCGGTACCGCTAGCTTCCCAGAAATCGACTCTCGATAATACCTCTCGATACGGATGAAGTAATCTTCTACTGTCGCGAGTGAGAGGGAAAAAAGGTAGTAGCGTGGGGTGTCGTCAGTGAGGGAGGAGATCGAACTGCTTTAAAGGAGGCAAAGAGAGGGAGCACGGAGTACTTACGCTCGAGCGTACGACTATCGCACGCACCACCGCGACTCATCTTTTATTCATTAGTTCGAACGAATTCGTGGAGTATACTTACTCTTGCTCGTCCAACTTGAGCATGCTTCCTCTCTCAAGTCGCGAGTCTTAAACGTAAACGAAACTACCTTCCTCTTCTTCTTATTCTTCTTCGTCTGCTCCTTCTTCTTCTTCTTCTTCTTCTTCTTCTTCGGCTTCTGCATCTTCTTCATCTTTTGCATCATCATCATCATCTTCTTCTTCTTCTTCTTCTTCTTCTTCTTCTTCTCCTCCTTCTTTTTCTTCTTTTTGTTCTTATTCTTATTCTTATTCTTATTCTTATTCTTATTCTTATTCTTATTCTTATTCTTATTCTTATTCTTATTCTTATTCTTCTCGCTTCTAGCTTGATGCTAACATTTAAGCCAAACTAAATTTACGCATCGATTCGAATCGTTTTAGGATTTCCTTAAACTATTTGGAAAAATTCAATCGATGAATTAACAGAAAATATCTTATACGAATTACCATTTCATAATTCGGTTATTCGACGTAGGATATTAGCTTTGATATTGATTACGTTTTCGTATTCATAAATATTTTTATATTTTAATCTGTATCGACATGATTTTTATCCGTATTGATCAATTTCAATTGAAAGAAATAAAAGAAGAAATTTCTAATGCTTTGCAATTTAATTTATTATCATTGTGAATATATGTATATGTAACATTTATGGATTCAAGAGTCTAGTTGAAAAATATAGAAGACATTTCTAAAGATTTACGATCTAAATTGGACACATACATTAGTTATCTTAATTAGTTTCATATAAAAAAATTGATGAATTAATTAATTAATTTGAATTAAACATCTAGATTAGATTTGTCAATTAGTTTCGTATAAAAATTTGAAATCATTTTTGAATTCAGTCGAGAGATTAAAAAAAGAAAAGAAGAAAAAAGGAAAAAAAAAAGAAAAAGAAAAAGAAAGGACAAAAAAAAAGCAACAAAAAAAAGGAATAGAAGAAAGAAAGAAAAACATTTTTTTTTTTTTTCAATATACCTATTCACGAATTAATTCGTAATAATCGAGATTAGAAATATCAATGTAATAAGCATTAATAATACCAACAAGAGATTTTATTATTCAGAAAGAAAATATTGTATAAAGTATATCTACCTATATAGAAACTGGACCCATCGAAACTATCTTCGATCGTTCGAGAATACTCTCGACCTCTTTTTCTCGGCGCAATTTCAAGAAATCCGATGCCCCGATCTAGAATCGACTTCCGCGACAAAAAGTAACGTTGCGATACGTACCACCTTTCTCGAAGAATGATTGAAACGAGCTTTTTCGACATTCCTTCTAATCCTATCTATACTCTCTATGTTAGTTTCGAAGAGTCGTATTTTCATCGAAGGGACCACTTGAAAGATCAAAAAAAGAGAGAAAAAGAGAGAGAGACAGAGAGAAAAAGAGAGAGAGAGAGAGAGAGAAAGAGAGAGAGAAAGAGAGAGAGAGAGAGAGAAAGAGAGAGAGATGATCGGCTGCTGGACACGCATTCATTAGCTTTCTTCTGCTCGAACTCGAACGGGCTCGCTCGGTGAATGGATTTGGCCGACTGACCGTAAGGGGACCGTAATATTCTTGCTCATTGAGAGTCAGTCTAGTTTTTACGTCTGAACGCGTCTCGATAGTCGATCATAGATTCTTCATCGTACCTTCTCCCTAAACTCCCACCGAAGTAGGCCATGGTTCCTTTCTTCTTCATTATTATTGTTATTATTATCATTATTATTTTTATCATTATCATTATTATAATTATTTATTATAATTATTTATTATTATTATTATTATTATTATTATTATTATTATTATTATTATTATTATTATTGTTATTATTATTATTATTATTATAATTATTATTATTATTATTATTATTATTATTATTATTATTATTATCATTCATCGAAAGCACAAGAATATTATCATTACTGAAGGATTTGATAAGTCGATCTATATCGCACGAGATAATCCTTCGATTATGAATGACGTCATGGGTTTCTCTTCGTCAGAAAGATCGATCTCGAATATTAACGTTTGTCGTAACGATTACGTAATCCATTGAACATCCTGCAGAAACTACGGACTTTGGATTCAAGATCGTTCGATTTTCGATTCGATCGAGATACATAAGAGAAAAATATCCGAGAGAAAGAGAGAGAGGGGGGGAGAGAGGGAGAGAAGGGTGATGGTGGGAGGAGGGGGAGGGAAAAGAAAGAAGAATGATATTTAGATAGATAGACGATGTCGATTGTGTCTTCGTAAAAAAAAAAAAAAAAAAAAAAAAAAAAAAAATAAAGGAAGAAGAAAGAAAAAAAAGGAAAAGAAGAATTTTTCTTCATGATCAGACAACAAACGATCAGGAGGATCGAATCAAAGAGATATAATCGGTCTCCGATAATAATTGATTTCGATCATAATAAAAAATTCGAATTCGTAGAAAGTAGGTCGATATGAATAGCCGTGTGCGACATCGAATATATTAGAAAATTAACATCTACAATTAATATCCCGTATTAGGATAAAAATATCGTAGACGATCCGCAGGAAGTTAATGAGAATGAGAAAAGAAGAGAAGAGAAGAGACGTTCGAAGAAAAAACATCCTCCTTTTCCTTCGGCCTTCCACCCCGCATCAAGATCGTCAAGGCGTCTTACAGGTGCGCCGAAAACGGCTTTCTTGCCGCGCGAGATTCTCCGGAGGGTCCAACCTCCGAAGAAGGGTCCACGATGAGGAGGAAAGAGAGAACCGAAAAGAGACGCTGGCTCTTCTCTCTCTCTCTCTCTCTCTCTCTCTTTCTCTCTCTCTCTCTCTCTCTCTCTCTCTCTCTCTCTCTCGCATGTCACCGTTTTTCCACGCGCGCGAGCAAGATTAACGTCGAGAGGCACGTTGGGAGATGAAGGAGGGTGGCGGTGGTGATGATGGTGACGATGGTGATAGTGGTGGTGGTGGTGGCAGTGATGGTGATGGTGATTGTATTGGTGGTGGTGGTGTTGGTGGTGGTGATGGCGATGGTGGTGGGGGAGATGGACTGTCGCAGCTGCGAGAGCCACCTTGCCAGAAAAGCCGATGGCACCTTAAGGAGAGAAGTCAAGGGCAAGAAGCGTCCCTTGGATGGGCCCTACGGGGTCCTCCCCACTCAAACGACTCCTCGATCTTGACTCGTTCCTCCTCCTTCTTTTTCACCTCCTCCTCCTCCTCCTCCTCCTCCTCCTCCTCCTCCTCCTCCTCCTCCTCCTTCTGTTTCTCTTCGACGTCTCCGTTCTCGTCTTTGTTTTGATCAGAAGAGGGTGGTGGAGAATCTTGTTCCCTTCACCCCCGGTAAACGGTCTTATCTATCAAATCCATGGGTGTCGAGATCGGCGTCGCCACGGCATTTTCTCAAAATCTGTTCTCACGTTTAAGGATCGATCGATCGATCGATCGATCGATTCATCCAACGATCGGGGGAGCAAACGAGTACGCGAACAGACAAGCGATCCGGTGTACAGTGTATGAGAGAGACCGTCCACCTTCCCTGCCTCACTCGCGTCGTCTCTCACACCAATCCATATGTATGGGGTTGAGGCACAGGCGACGCAAATGTGCTGACTACATTACGCCGCTATATAAGATAGCCGGGCAACCATCCTATCCCCACAGACCGAGTCAGATCGGCAGACCGTTCACAGACGGACTCCGGCAGGACAACACACGGCCTTAGACGGCAACCACAACAAACGCGCCGATCCTTTCTTCGCTCTCTTTAACTACTTGCTACGATCACCGAGGACGAGAAAAGTAGCCGGTCTGCCAGAAGCTAAGATCTCCGCAACCCGAGCGAAACGTGTCCACGAGTGTACTCGCGCAACACGCGATACGCCGAGCCGGCGAACTAACGCGTTTCCTTTCCTTCTTCTTCTTTTTCTTATTCTGATTCTTATTCTTATTCTTATTCTTATTCTTATTATTATTCTTATTCTGATTCTTATTCTGATTCTTATTCTTATTCTTATTCTTCTTCTTCTTCTTCTTCTTCTTCTTCTTCTTCTTCTTCTTCTTCTTCTTCTTCTTCTTCTTCTTATTCTTATTCTTATTTTTATTCTTATTCTTATTATTATTCTTATTCTTGTTAGTCTTCTTAGTCCTCTTATACTTTTATTTCATCATATTCTCTTATTCTTTTACTATTTGCATCCTCTTGCCAAGTGAAATATCGTGCGTGAGAAAATCTCGAAGACATGCTGTCGCTCAGCCTGACGACTTCCTTACTTATCGCTGTCACCGTGCTAGCTCTCATTCTTATCCTGATCGATCATCTTCGATCGGAAAAGGCTAGGAAAAGCGAGAAAATTCTTTACTCGGAAGGATCTTTTCTACCAGAAGCACCTGGTCCAAAACCTTGGCCAATTTTGGGATCCCTTCATATACTTGGACGTTACGATGTGCCTTACAAAGCCTTCGCTGATCTCGTCAAGGTCTACGACAGCCAAGTGATCAAGCTCAAGATGGGATCGGTACCTTGCGTTGTCGTCAATGGACTCGAAAATATTAAAGAAGTACTCTTCACCAAGGGACCACATTTTGACTCCAGGCCAAACTTTGTTCGTTATCATCTACTATTCTGTGGGAACAAGGAGAATTGTGAGTTTTTTTTTTATTTCTCTTTCTATTTACACTTTCTCTCTCTCTCTCTCTCTCCCTTTTTCTCTTCCTCTCTCTCTCTCTCTTTCTCTCTCTCTTTTTCTCTCTCTCTCTCTCTCTCTCTCTCTCATCAATTTTCTCGCGAAATTATTGAAGAACAATTTTCCAACACGTGCGTAACACATCCACATTGAAAATAAACGACAAATTCTCGTCTCGTCGTAAAGAAAGTTAAAATAAAAAGAAAAAAGAGAGAGAAAGAGAAAAAGAGAGAGAGAAAAAAAAAGAAAGAAAGAAAGAAAGAAGAAGAAAAATTCGCTTTCACGAAAACAGATACGTCGATGACAGATACATGCATACGTCGATCAAGCGATAACGTGATATGAAAAAGAAAAAAAAGAAAAAAAACGAAAAAAAAGTAAAGTCGCTGATAAAGCGAAATTAGCGTTCATTTGTTACAGTAATAAATTCGAGTCGTAATCGCAAGAAACAAAAAAAGAAAAAAAAAAAAGAAAAAAAAAACAACAACATACTTTTTTCTATTTCAAAAAAAAATTCGAATGGCTTGAAAAAAGAAGAAGAAAAAATAAAAAAAAAAAAAAACCGAGAGAGAAGAGATAATGAAAATCTGTGAAAATCGAAAATCCATCAACATCTTCCTTTTTGAACGAGCCAAAAACTCGTTCCTCATGCTAACGACCTTGCTACTATAGTACGCGACACGTGAGCGATCCGGTCGGGCCACGCATACGAGTTTGCGTTCTCGCGAGTTACCTATCAGCGAGGAGTAAAACTCGTGTCGAGTGTGTAAGCGTTGTTGATCCTCCCCGAACGAACGCGCAATGAAACTCGTGCTAAGGTCGACCGTCGAAGCGGTACCAAGTGCAAGTACCACTGCCTGTTAGAGGTCACGCTACCACTTTCACGCGTTCCAGCTTCGTAACGAGTTCCCCGCTTGTAAACAGGATCAAGGCTGATGATGTTACGTTCCTCGATATCCAACGGGAAGATTCTCTCTCTCTCTCTCTCTCTCTCTCTCTCGTTCTCTCTTTCGTTCTCTTTCTCGTTCTCTTTCTCGTTCTCTCTCTCGTTCTCTCTCTCGTTCTCTCTTTCATTCTTTTTATATTTTTAATTTTACGAAGGTACGGGAAAAGATGATTTTAAAATGATTATTGGAAACTCGATTAACAGGGACGAGGAAGACTTATCTCTAGAAACCGGGTCACACTTCCTGTTCTCATCTCATTTCGTCTCATCTCGTATCTTTTCTTCCCTTCTCTTTATCTTTCTCTTTCTCTCAGAATCAATTAGTTCGATTTCAAACCTATAATACACGCTTGGCATATCGTTCGATTAACTATTGCAAAACCATTACTTTCTGTCGAGTAGGCTCGATCATAAGGCTTAGCTGTTATTTTAGCATCGACCTTGCATTTCCGCGTACTTCGTGATCGATTCGCCATTCGAAAAGGAGGACGAAAGAAAGAGAGAGAGAGAGAGAGAGAGAGAGAGAAAAAAAGAGAGAAAAAGAGAGAGAGAGGGATACTTGCGTGTACGCACATTTTTCCTTTCTACCGGCAAAATTTCGCAAACGGCCGATCGACGCGATTCTGGAGTAAGGTCAAGTTTAAAGTCAAGTGTCGATTCCTTCTCCGATTACGCTCTCGAGGTAAATAAAGAATCGTTAAGCTTTGAAAATATTCAAACTGAAGGAACGAGTTATCCTTAAAAATTTTTATCAATTTTTATATATTTTTTCTTTTCATTATTTATTTACTTTTCTTTTTTATTTGTTCATTCATTTCTTCATTTATTTATTTATTTATTTATTTATTTACAGCTCTTGCCTTCTGCAACTGGTCCGAGTTACAAAAGACTCGTCGAGAGATGCTGAGAGCTCACACGTTCCCGCGTTCCTTTACGATGCGTTACAACCAATTGAACGACATAATAGGTGCCGAGTTGGAAATCATGATGGATCATCTAACTTCATTCTCGGGAACAAGCATTCATGCCAAACCATTAATTCTTCACACCTGTGCTAGCGTCTTCGTGAAATATTTCTGCTCAAAGAGTTTCACGTTCGATTATAAACCATTTCGTAGGATGGTCGAAAATTTTGATAAAGTATTCTTCGAGGTTAATCAAGGTTATGCCGCTGATTTCATGCCTTTTCTAATGCCTCTTCACCAACGAAATATGACTAGAATGGCCAATTGGAGTCACGAAATTCGTCATTTCGTCGACGAAGATATTATTGGAGAACGATTGGACAAATGGACGTCTCTAATATCCGAAGAAGATTATGTCGATTGTCTGATAAATCACGTTAAGACAGATACCGAGCCAACTATGACTTGGGACGTGGCCATGTTTGCATTGGAGGATATAATAGGTGGTCACTCGGCCGTTGGCAATCTTCTCGTGAAAATTTTAGGATTTTTGGCGACTCGACAGCACATTCAACAAATAGCACAAAAAGAGATCGATTCGGTTGGCATAGAGGAGAAATTTGTTGGCTTAGGAAACAGATGTTTGATGCCTTATACCGAAGCTATCATCTTGGAAGCAATAAGATTGATCGCAAGTCCGATCGTACCACACGTGGCCAATCAGGAGAGTTCCATAGCAGGTAAATATTTATTTCCAATTGTGAACTTTTTTTTTATATTTATATTACCTGATTGTTATTTATTACATCGTTCTTTTTTTTTTCCTTTCTTTTCCTTTTTTTCTTTTTCTTTTCTTTTCTTTTCTCTTCTTTTTTCTCAAGGTTATAGAATCGAAAAGGACACGTTTATTTTCTTAAACAATTACGAATTAAATATGTCCGATGAACTTTGGATCTCGCCGAAAGAATTCATGCCGGAAAGGTTCCTTCGCGATGGAAGACTTCACAAACCAGAACACTTTTTGCCATTCGGAGGTGGACGGAGATCGTGCATGGGTTATAAGATGGTTCAGTATATAAGCTTTGCGACGATTGCTTCGTTATTGAAAAACTTTACGATATTGCCGGTAGATAAGGAAAGTTATAAAGTACCAATTGGTACTTTGGCACTGCCAGAAAAGACCTTTAATTTTCGATTCGTTGAAAGACGGTAGAAAACTAACACAAAAATGTAATATTCTATCTAGACTTTCATCGGAATCCTTTATTTTAATTAGTCTTTGATAGAAACGAGCTTTACAATCTCTCTCGTAAAGAAAGAATAAAATATAATTCGAAAGAGAGAAAGAGAAAGAGAGAGAGAGAGAGAAAGAGAGAGAGAGAGAGAGAGAAAGAGTTGCCAAAGAAGATTCTCCTCTGACGTAAAATATCGAAAGGAGGATCCAATGAAATTCCTTTAACGATCGAGAGAAGAATCTTCCTATCGACGAAGCTTTATTGATACTAAGACTATTACAGATTCAAAAGAAAAAAAGAAAGAAAGAAAAAATAATAAAAAAAAAAAAAACAAAACAAAAAACAGAAAACCGAAGAATTTTCAATTCGATCGGATCATATTATTATCAACAACAAGGATATATATCGATCTTCGGTATCGAGAGAGCTTTACTGACATTATATTAGATCGTTAAGATAGCCAAATTTGATCGAGCCGTCATTGAGACGATCGTTACAACGATAATTTAGAAACGAGTCTCGTCAAGTTGATACGAGGATTGAAAATAATCGTGATCGTTATATTAGAAATGTTCTTTTTTCTTTTTTCTTTTGTTTCCGTTTTATTTTTCTCGTCTTTCTTTCTTTCTTTCTTTCTTTCTTTCTTTCTTTCTTTCTTTCTTGTTCTTTTTTTCTGTTTTTTTCTTTTTTTTTTTATTTTTACTTTTCTTTCCTCTTCTTCGATTCGTCGTTTTTTCTTTTTTTTAAAAAAAGAAAAAAATCACATTGAAAAAATATCACATTAAATATCACGTATCTCTTATTGAAGAGAAATAATTCTCATTGTTAAAAGATCGAGATTATCGAGATGAAACGATTTCACTTTAATTAACAAGGTGACGACGTTTTGTTCTCGTCGAGTTCGTGCCAAATCTCTAGCCAATCCTGACAATGAAATTCTGGCTTAGTTAATTTTGTTTAAAGTAAATTGTCACGTACATGTATGTAGATACTAATTTATCCTTCGATAACATTTCGCAAGACGAAATGTCCTTACGATGGATCTATTACTTTTAATAATATTATCAGAACGAAATGTTTCTCTTATCTTTCCTCTATATTATTTCAATTAAAAAGAAATATTAAACGGATGAAGACAAATTTTCATGAACTTTAAAGCTCGACGACGAACTCGTTTATCTATTTCTTTTCAATGAACGAAGCAATGCACGAAGAATATATAGAATGAGCTCCAAAGGTTCTTGAATATGTCGATCAACAGTTAATAAAGCTCGTAATTTTACAATTTGAAAGGAAAACATTAGACTCGCAAAAAGTCTCGCAAAATATTTTAAGGAAACATCATTTCAGCGCCATCATCATTCCTATTTATAAACGATCTGTCAAATTAAAAATTAGTAAAGATCTTCGAGTACGTATATAATCTATAAGTTCGATTGTTATCATAAAAGTACATAATCGATTATCTCGTTGTCGATGATCTCGAAAGAAGAAGAAAAAAAAAAAAAGAAAAAAAGGAAGAAAAAAAAAGAAAAAGAAGAAGGAAAGAAAGAAAGGAAACAAACAAAAGGAAAAAGAAATAAAAGAAAAAAGACGAAAAAAAAAACGAAGAAAGATAGGAAATGAGAAAAGATCCATTAAATTATCATTCCATTTATCGCGACATTACAAATTCAAGATCGATGAAAAAAAGAGAACGCGTTTGTAAGTACGTAACCGTAAAGTATATCACACAGTACCTCGCCATCTTTTTCATAAATCGTCGATCAAACTTCATGACGCGGGGTGCAACAAAGTCTTGACGTTCATTTCTCCTTTTTCTTAAAAGGGGCTCTCGTAGATTTTGAAGTAGCACCTTGTAAGAGATAATTTATTACTAGTTTTCGCGCGCGAACGGCATATTATCGATTACGATTATTATTACTCTTTTAATTAATGTTAACGTTTCTCAATGTTATCGTTATTATCGCTTGATCTGCTATTATCATCACTATTATTAGTACTCGCGAGTATCGTCGTCACCTTCACCCGATCCCCTACCCATCACATACACACACACACACACACACCCTTCTACTCTTCCTTTTTCCATTTTTCATCCCTATCCTTGCCCCTCCCCCCTACAACACCCATCCACCCACTCTCACAATCCTCAACGCGTTTCAACACATTAAATTGTACATTATTTTGTGTTTGTTATTTAATTATCGTGATTGTTACGACCTTTTGTTAATTTATTATTTAAGATTTTAATAATAAAATAGAGAACGAAGATATGTGGTGATATTCCTCATTCTTTCGTAATCATTTCACATAAGTATTATTAAATGATAGTTAATAATAATTAATGAAATTATATTGAAACACATTCGAAGCCAATAATTTATTATCAATCCTTTGCCATTTTAATATCTTTAAACTAAAGCCGTAAATTTAGTAATATGTCATTTGAGAATTTTAAGATTAGATCAAATAACGTGATCCTATGATATGTCATTTCATTCATTTAAGATAACAGAATCTGTATAAAATGTGATCATCGACTGTATATAGAACGTTTGAATGTCATACGCGTCTTTAATAAAGCAATTCTCATCGGCTACGAATGTGTTAATTTCTTATAAAAAAGGGAAAAAAGAAAAAAAAGAAACAAAAATAAAAGAAAACATTTATCTCGCACTCCGTCATATCGTGAAAGTATTCTCGAAATGTCAGCAAACAATTTTATCAAAGGTTTAGATAATTACAAAAAAGATCTTATCTTTAAAGTACATTCATGATCTTTATCAAAAATTTATACTGTGTTTGTCGTTTCGTCTAGAGTGCGCCTATCTATATTACGTTTGTTCAAATAAATTCCTTCGTAAATATTTTCTTTCTTGATTGGCAATTAATTAACTATGATATCAAATTAATTGCAAAAATTAACTCAACGAGTTATAGAAATATTTCTCTAAATTGAAAATACTTCATTTCTTATATATATATATATATATATATATACATGTATATAAATGTATATAAAAATATATTTACTATCTTATCATTTAAGTAACAAGTTATCATTTACTTAATATAACATGTCTTGATCAATTACATATTAATATTATTTTCTTATTTAACAATGAAAAAAAAACTGTTCAGTGCTGTTGAACAAGAGACGAATCATTGGAAAAAAAAAAATGTAAATTACATGGATTGGATTTAATCAGTCAAGAATATAATATGTATGACAGAAATATTAAATTGATATATGAAATATGAGATTTCCTTTTTATATATCCCTCCAATTGGGATCTAAGTCTTACTTTTTTCATCATTTTCTACTGATATATTTTCAATATCGTTGGAGAATATTACGATTGTATCATTTATTTTCGAAATATTTTTATTCTTTTTCTTTCCAAACATATCCTCGATCTCGTTCAATGATTTCCCTTTGGTCTCGGGTAAAAATAATAGAATAAAAATTGTTCCAGCTAAAGAGACGATCGCATAAAAAAAAAAGACACCATGTTTCCCCATATATGACAACATATTAGGATAAGTTTTAACCGTTATCGAACTGAATATGTAAGTGATGCAAGTAGTAAGTCCAGAAAATAGATCCTTCACTTTACTAGGATAAATTTCACCGATCATAGCAAATGGAATCGATAAAAATCCTAAGGTGCTTAAAAATATATACATTACAATACAAATAGCCGGTATTATACCGTTATCATTTATGACGTATCCTTTATCGATAACGAACAAATAAATTGAGAGTAAAATCATGAAGACAGTCATACCACTACCAGAAACTATAGAAGGAATTCTTCGGCCGTGCTTTGAAGAAAATATTGCAATTAAGACACTACCGAACAATCGTGCTAATCCAATAAAAACTGCTCCTATATATGGATCTAAAGTAATACCAGCGCTTCGAACTATATCTATCGCGTAATAGATCATGACGAATATACCGGAAAATTGTTGAAATAAAAAGTACATCAACATTATTATAAATGGTATAAGAGCGTTCCTCTTGAATACGTTATTTAATAATTTCTTATTATTATTTCCTTGTTGATTTCTTGGTTTAAATTCTAAAAGAATATCCATGGTCACTGGATCATCCTTTGGTATACCACGAAATTTTTTTAATGTCTCCAATGCTTCATCCAAACGGCCACGTTCTCGTAACCACATAGGAGATTCTGGTAATACTAACAGGATTAGTACAATCGAGATAATAGGAAATATAGCACACATCAGAGCTATCATTCGCCAATCATCCTAAAAATATTTCATTGCTAAATATATGTATTTATATTATTACATATATTAAGTCTAACTTAAGAAAAAAAAAAAAAAAAAAAATATATATATATATATATATATAAAATGAATATGCAAAACTTTTTAATATTACGAATACCTTAAATATACAGCCGAAAACATAAACGATCAAAAGGGCCAAAGCAATGGAGATTCCAGTCCAAGTAACCATAGTACCTCGCCATTTGACATTAGCAATTTCACCAGAATAAACGGTCGTTGGAACAGAAGCTAGGCCTGTACCGATCCCAGAAATTACTCTACCTATGAATATCTCTTCGTAGCTGTTAGACATGTAAATGATTATCCAACCGATGAAAGAAACGATCGAAACGATGAATAAAGTTAACTTTCTACCCCATCTCATCAAAATACTCGATAGAACGCAACCAACCGGAATACCCAAAGCAGATGCGGTAGCTGTAAAATGAATAAAAAAGAAATAAAGGACTAAAAAAAAAAAAAAAGAAAAGAGGAAAAAAGAAAAGAAAAAAAAAGCAAACGTGATCTTAAGTTTCTCTTTAAAGACACTTGAGAAGTATTCGTTCGTAAGCGGCTTCTTTTAAAATTAAATGTCAAATGTGAGTACCAACCGATCCAGTTCGCTTGATTAAAATCGATCTTCACTTCACTGGAAAGAGACATCAGTGGTCCAAGTGCTACTGCACTATAACCAAATCCCATAGCTGGTCCAAGTACCACAACGTTTGCGCTAAGGCTCATTAATATCTGGAGGAAAAAGAAAAAGAAGAAAAAAAAAAAGAAAAAGAAATGATAAAATTAAATAATGTTTGCATCAAGACTCGTTAGTGTTGCATCAAGACGTTATTCGCTGGAGAAAAACAAATTATAATAATTTATGAAGAAAAAATTATAACAATTTACATAAACTCACAAACATAACTATCGTATCGAATTATCAACTAGCAAAGATAGTAGATATTAACGCGATTAAAATAATTAATTATAACATTTTTCACGTATACGTTTGTATTTATGGCGAAGAATTTCTTTAAGAAAAAGAGAGAGCGAGAGAGCAAAAGAGAGATAGAGAGAGAGAGAGAGAAAAAGAAATAAAAAGAGTGACACTACGTAACATTTTTTGTAAAGAAAATTTATGTTCGCGTAAGTTTTTCAATAATACAGTATTGTACATAATTAAATTATTTTTAACACATTGAATGCTGCGTTTTTTAAATTTCTTTTTTGTGACATTTAGAAAACTAAAAATATACTTATCTTCTTAAAATATATATTTTAAGAAGATAATCTAAATTAATATAAGATTAGGAATGCATCACAATCTATACAGAATAAAAGTATTTAATAAAAATTAATCAGTAAAATAAAATCGAACTTGAATAAAAAGAAAAGAAAAAAAAAGAAAAGGCATATGTCATTCTCTCGATTATAAATCCTTCAGATTTTAATAAATTGCGTTAAATGTCTTAACTCATGTTAAAAATTAATATGAATAAATGTGATTGAGAGGTGTTAGGAACGAAGAATCGAATGATCGATAATTTTTATTCCTTAAAATTTTAAGGAATAAAATTCAAATGGATTTACATATTGAATGGTATTACAAACACGTGGGTTTTTGAAAGGAAAGAGTTATATAAATGAACTTATATGCTTGCTGTGCTATATCTCGTAACGAAAGTAAATCGTTGCAATTATTGATCATAATAAAATAATCTATTTATTTTATCGTAATTGTAAAAATAAGATAACATAGAGTATAATTAATTACACTTGTGAATATAAATATAATAGAGATAATGTAGAGTGTATATCGTTAATGAAAAATAAACTAAGAGAACAAAAAATAAATAAATAAATAACATCAAATTTATACGTTTAATAAAGATTCGAAAAATTTTCCCTTTCTTTATCTTTCACAATTTTACAAGAAAAGAAAAAGGAAATTGCGAAAGATAAGGAAGTTATAAATGCAGTCGGTGTATTTTCCAAAACAAAATAAAAAGAAAAAAAGAAACAATACACGGAGTAATCCATTTACGACTCACTTTATAAAAAAAATTTATGGATCATATGCAAGATTGATGAATTATTTTTGTCTTTAACGGTGATATTAAAATTAGAAAGAATATATTAAATAATATTAGATAAAAATATATATTTCAGGAAGGATAAAAATGTTAATAAAAAGTTAAACTCCAGGTGATCGTTATAAATATTTATGTAATACACAAATTTTCCTTCAAATATGTGTGTGTGTGTGTGTGTGTGTGTGATAGCAAATTCGGTATACATACAAATAAAACGAAATTCATTTGAGTGACAAAACAATGATAAAATCATTATTATGAAATTTTCATGATTTATGACAATGTATCAAAGGAAGAACAATTACACAGAGACTTGTGCAATTAAAAGTTGATTTATATTTATAGAGTTTAAAATTTCGAAATCTATCTAAATGTTTTTGAACAACGGAACGTAATCAGACGAGTCTTTATTTTCTAACATCATGAATTTCTTCTCTGTCCTCTTTATCTCCGTTCTTCTTTATTTCCCTTTTCTTTTTTTTCTTTTTTTTAAATTGGAAACGAATTAATGAAGGAGAGGAGAACAGTATGAATTACTTGATTCGTCTTAAATTTTTTCGATGTTTTTCATTTTACCTGATAAATCACTCCACTTCTCTCGCGTTTCTTCATCTCCTCGTTGTTCTTCCATTCCATCTGAATAAATATTGAAAAAAATGTAACCAAAAGAACCTGTTAATTAACTTATTCCTCACTCCTTCACTAACGGTATTCGTCTTCCAACAGAATGAAATATATTCGTTGGAGTATATAAAAAATTAAAAATGTAAACACACAGTCTAACCTTGGTGATTATTAAAAAATATTTACGATGATAAATGACATGTGCAAAAAAACATGTGCATGAAAAGAAAAACAAGAACAATATAAAAACATTTTTTTTTCATAAATATATTACACAGGGTCATTTGTTTATATATATAAATATAATATATATAATATATAAATATATATATATATAAAATATATATATATATATTAATTTATGTTATTGTTTATTCGTATCATATCGATATAAATTGATCGAACGTTTATCAATATCGATTATTTGTGACTGTAATAATAAATAATATAACAGTTATCTATAAAGTACCTTAACATCCATCGATAAAGCGTTTCCATTCATGATATCTCAAATATCCTCTTCGTTTTACCTTGCAAATTTTAATTGTAAGATTTGTAAGACTTTCAATAGAATAAGATGAACTATCACGTTTTACCCGTATGTATTATAAAATAGACAGACAAAGAGAGAGAGAGAAAGAGAGAGAGAGAGAGAGAGAAAGAGAGAGAGAACGATTAGATTTTATTTAATCTCGCTGATTTATCATCTCTAGTCACATGCTGTTTTAATTGTATCTTATTTATCGTTATCTTTAGCAATCGAATAAAACAATTTACGCGAATGACAACAACAACAATAAAAAAATATGTATACGTATATATAATATTAATTTCTTCTTTTTTTTTCTCATCGATCGGCCAATATAAATATAATAATTTTTATTGTTGACATTTGTGTCGCGATCATTAAAAGTTCGAAAGTTCAATGAATATTACAATGAGTCCATGAGAACGAGTATGTATATGTTAGTAATCGAGAATTTCGTTTGATCGAAAAAAGAAAATAATTATTTTTCAAATTAAAAAAAAAAATTACATAATAATTATTACTAATTTTAATCCATATTCAAATTCGTACGTTGATAATCACAAATTAATACTATCTCACAGTTCACGTTTAATATCAATGTTCGTCATTGTAATCATTTCTCTCTTTTTCCTTTTTCTTCTTCTTCTTCTTCTTCTTCTTATTCTTATTTTTATTGTTCTTCTTACATATCGATAATAGTTTCTTCCTGTTTTTTTCGCGAGGATTACGAACGGAATGAAAAAAATGAACGTTTTCTTCTTCTTCTTCTTTTTCTTCTTCTTCTTTTTCTTGTTTATAACTTATTCCTTCTTTTCTTTGTTCGAATAAAACTTAAAAAACTAAAAAAAAAAAAAAAAAAGAAAAAGAAATATATTTAAGAAAAATAAATTTCGAATACAAATATTTCCGGTCGATGAGTATTACACAAAGACTCGTTATCGACTGAAAGCTCTATTGGTTTTATCACCTACATCAGCTTCTTTATTAAAACCAAGACTCCGTCATCAGAGCGCGCAAACATTATATAAATCTCGTTACGAAGAGAGAGAGAGAGAGAGAGAGAGAGAGAGAAAGAGAGAGAATTGAAAATCAAACAAAATAAAGAAAGAGAGAGAGAGACACAGAGAGACAGAGAGACAGAGAGAGAGAGAGAGAAAAGTAGATGTAAACGAGTAAATTCCTTCCACGAGAAGGAATGATATCAAGAAATAGAGAAAGAGGGAGAGGTAGAGCAAGAGAGAACGAGAGAGAGAGAGAGAGAAAGAGAGAGGCATAAATGGATAATTATTATTTCCCCACTTCTTTGAATAAATTAATACTTATATAAATAATCTAATCGGTTATGAAAGAAAGGGAGAGAGAGAAAATGAGAGGGAGAAACTTGTACTATTAAAAAATATGCAAATCAAATAAAAATATTGTCTCTCTTGTCATTATAAAATCATAATGTTTACTTAGGGAAATAATAAAAAATCAATGATCGATTTTCGTATTTCATTTCTAAAACGTACTATATATATTTAAATATATACATATGTATATACATGTATATATATATATATATATATATGTATGTAATGTATGTAACGTATGTAACGTATATGTACGTTATGGACTAAATCATTAGTGTTTTATATAATGTCTAGTCATTATGAATAATAAAAATCAAAATTAGTTACTGTAATAAATTTCAAGTTATTTAACATAATTTATCATCTGGTTGGACAAAATGACGATAACGATATCTTTTTGATAGTATTAGAAACGATAGGGATTACGGGTGAAATAGAGAGGAGAGGAATAATCTTCGTACAGAATTGCAACATGGGCCCGTATTGCATTTAATATCGAATTTTAAATTCATTAGCGACGAGTTTAATTTAATCTTGTGTGATATTTCAATTTTTTCCTATCTTCTTTTTTATTTATTTATTTATTTTTTTTTTTTTTGATTTCTTTTTTTATTAACTCTTTGATTTTGTCTTCGTCATTGTCGTAATAACATTACAAAATCCATATAAATAAAAGACAAATGAGAATTTCTCCTATATGCAAAATGTGTATATGTATATATACACGAGTAAAAAGAAAGTAAAAAGAATTTCGAAAAGGTTCGTAAGTTTGATAAACAATTGATAAAAAGGAAAGAAAAAACCAAATCAGGGATTGTAATGAATTTATTATTGAATGTTATCTTGAAAGATGTAAAGATGTAACGTTGAAATTTATTTTAATGATACATTTATTAATTAAGAAAATTAATACGAGCTTTATAAATGATAATAAAAAAAAAATCGATCAACGTAATAAATTTCAACGTTAGGATTGTATCTTTTTAAATAATTTTCTATAGTAAATTCATCGCAGAATTATCGATTATGTGATTCATATAATACGAACGCGTGTTGTTTTTAAAATATTTTTATATAATTCAAAACAAAAATAAATAATACTTAATGAACCAGACGTTCTTTTTTTTCTTTTTGTTTTTTAATCAAATTACCCAAAAATATTTATCAAGCTATACGATCGTTTTAATCATTATACATAATGACAAAATATAAATAATAACCATTTACCCCATATGTGTGTGTGTGTGTGTGTGTGTGTAAACGTATGTACACACGTAGAATTACCTTCTATAAAGATATCTAATATCAGAATAAAGCTTTGCAACCTTGGTTTCGAATCACCGCTTGGATGTGTCATCAGTATCTTTCTAAATATCATAAACAACATTCGTTAGTTAGTAATACATATATGTGACCTTAGAAAGTCATAGATGGATTATAACTGTTAATGTGTTACTACTGATTATAGATTATAAAATTGCATCACACTTTGCATCACACTCTAAGAAGATCAATATATTAATTCACTAAACAAAGATACTTTATCAAATCTCAATGTTCTTGAATCAATAATTATAATATATTTATATATATTACAACATGTATATATATCGTTCTATGGCTTTGATTTTATATTTTAATCAAGTATGTAACAAATTGATGCTATTAAAATAATATAATAATAATAATGTGAAATATAAAAAATAATTTACCGATCGTTACATCGAACACTGACCTTTCTTTACAACTCTGTTATATCCTTGACCTTGAAACGGAAACATGTCTCGAAAAAAACAAAGTTCCACGAGTGACATAATCGCTGATGTCATCTCGTCTTTTTCAACCCTTCAATCTCGTACAATAATATTTTAATACGAAGAATTTCTTAACTGCATTTTAATAAAAAGAAATTGAATAATTAAGAAAAAATATTGTAAAAGTCGATGCAACATTCGATAATTCTACTTTTCCTTCATTAAGAAACAATTTCAATGATATCTATTTTATCGACATTTTTTACAAAGCTAATGCTTTGTAAAATACATACAATACATGCGACCTCTTTCGGACGTAAATCATAACCTCAACCAATTATCATCTTTGAACAATTTAATCAATGATTTTGAGTATGCGATTTAAGCGCCTCTACATTGAAATGAAAACGACAGAGAGAAGCATAAACAAAAACGTGGAGATAGAAAAGAAATTGAACGATAGTCGGAGAAAGTAGTAGTAGTAATAATAGTTATTAAGGTTAAGTTAGGTTAAAGATGCGACGACCTATCATAAGACACAATTCATGTCACGTGACATAGATATAAAGTAACAGTAGGGATAATGTGTATGTACATTATACATTCCCTCGTGTGAGAATTCATCCCAGTCTTGCTTTACTAAGTGTGTATGTTAAGATCAATTTGAGTATTGTTTCCTATAAAAATTTATTTTATTATATTCTTTATATAAACGTATTTTGTATAGACAACAATAATGGCTGACGATGATTTCGACGGAGACGAGTAAGGAAAAAAAAACAATTTTATTTTATATACTTATATTTTAAGGAAATTATATTTTTGATTCATAATATAACCTCTTAATTTTACTTTTGTAGAGTCGCTGATGATTTCGACGATGTTGATGATGACGATAATATCGAATTAGAACCACAAGAGGAAGATGGTGAAAATATTGAATTATTAGCTGCTGGAGAAGCTTCCGGGGGCGTTCAAAGATCTAAAAGAATCACTACGAGATACATGACAAAGTGAGATCTCATTTGTTTCTATTTGAGATAAAATGATCAATCAAAACATCAAGAAAGTTTATTTTGTAATAATAAATACTTTTGTAGATACGAAAGAGCACGGGTTTTAGGGACAAGAGCATTACAGATAGCTATGTGCGCTCCTGTTATGGTAGAATTAGAAGGCGAGACGGATCCTTTACAAATAGCCATGAAAGAATTAAAACAAAGGAAAATTCCTATTGTAATTCGACGATATTTACCAGATAACAGTTATGAAGATTGGGGCATCGATGAATTAATTATAATAGATCATTAAAGTACAAAATAATATAACAATATTTTATTCTTAAATATAATAAATGTACATTAACTTATTAAGTATATAAATATGTAGGCTCATTACCATAATAGATTTTTATATAAATATTAAAATTTGTTAATGTATCATTGATTTTTTTTAACCCATTATATATATATATATATATATATATATAATGTATTGTATAAAATTATTTTTAGACGTCTATAAATAGATTGATGAGATGAACGATGTGTAATAAAGAAAAAAAAAAAAAATTAATAAATAAGAATTTATTTTAATAATTAAAAGTATTCATAAATATAAATAAGAAAAAGTTTGATAAAGGTCATTATGAACTCGTATGCGCAGGCGCTACTGTTCTCATCCTTGAATTTCTTACGTGAGCATGTAGGTTAGAATACTGCGTAAGATTTGTACGAAGGCAAAAAAAAAAAGAAGAAGTAGGAAATTATCGATTGCAACGTCCATCTCAAATTCCAGAAAAGAATGTCAATCGTTAATGAGTGTAATGTTAATTGCGAATTTGTGCATGAAAAATGTGAAAATACGAAAGAGAAGATTATCTTAAATCTTATCGGTTTTCAGTTCCGATAACGAGAACGATAAACATCTCCTAATGTTTCTGGTTATCGACGCATTTAACATTGAAATTCCATTGTCGCGTCATTTTCGTGTAAAGGAGGTCTCGTAAAACGAATTTAATATGATAACCTCATTTTTTGGAGAATTAACATGACGTGGTAAGTGATATTGCAATTATTATAGTAATAATAATAATAATAATAATAGTAATAATAATGGTAATAACAATTAATACAATTAATTAATATTAAAATAAAATATATATATGTATAATAATGTAACAATGTTATTTTTATTATTAGGAACCCGCTAAAAAAGAATCATTTGACGTTGAGACCCAGTCCAGCACACCCTCTACTTTCACATGCTGAGGATAGAGAACTGGATATTGCGGTACAAAGACTGATCTAGTATGCATTAAAATCATTTTCTTTCTTTCTTAAAAGGATATATAAATCTTATTGAAATAAATTCTCATTTATTATTTATTTATATGAATTTTTTAATGTTATATTGTAACAGCGTTGAAGATACAA